CCTCAGTTATCTAGGAGACATATTGTCCATATAGAACTCGGAATACAGCAAGATCCCGGCAGACTACATAGAGCTTTTACCTTGAGACTGTACAAGTAGTAGAGTAGAAGCTGGGTGTCAGTAAAGGTTATAAAATAAATTATTGAAACCTAAAATGGGAATGTGGCAGGACTTGATTTATGTCAGGTGGAGATGCAATAACTGGATCAAATTCGACATCAAGTCATCCTAAATCATCAGTAACTCCCAACCTGAACCAATATACAGAAATACGGGCCGTTTCATCATTGAGGATCAAATCCCAACTGAGGTGGAAATCCCAGAAGAGTTGTGATGGTGTGTCAAAAGATTTATTAAAGCATGACAACCTTTTTGTAAGACTTTGGATCAAGGACAGAGGTGGAAAAGGATAAAATGTATGAAAACATTGCTACAGCACTCCATTTTCCTAGTATATTTTCTAACACTACTACAAAGCCTGTTTACAAACCTTTCAAGAGGATGGAGACAGATAACCTAAGCCCTTTACATGCCAAGAGTGATTATGTTTTTACACAAAGGATTAAATTCAAAAATTCATCTGTTCCACTTATGCAGAAATATTGCAGATTCTGTGTCTGACCAGCTTCCTCAGTCCACATTAACGCATTGGACAAGGGCATCAGTGCTAGTGAAATGATTGTACGAAGAAAATATTCAGCCATCTAAGCAAGCCATAGATTACCCCTTCTGCATACAATAAACTTTGTTTTTACCAGCACCTTATGAACTGGCAATCTTGATAAATCAGCAAAAATTATATAACTGAAATATAGGAAGTTTACTGCATCATTGCGATCTCTGCATAGTCAGTTCAAGGTGCGAGTGAGAAGGCTCTCTGCCAGTAAGTTTTATTTAAGGTGGAATTGTATTATTATATAAATGATTTATGCTTTAAATAAAATATTACAGTAATATGTATACCCCCTGCATTACTTAGTTCACACTGATTACAGGGATCTCTTGATCAACCAGAATATTTGATCAACCGGCACACTCCTGGTCCCATAGGTGCCAGCTAATAAAAAGTTTGGTGTACTTCAGAAATAATTCCCAAGCGTTGAATATGTGTGGAGATACATAAGCTATGCTCAACAATTAATTTATTAGACAACAGGCCCTTACAGTGATAACATTCAAATGGTACCAAAACTGTACATCTGTGCAATGTTATCTGCAAAGGTATCATATAACCATTCACCATCATGATCCCAAATTGAGGACTTGCATCAATGCGCTAAGACTTAAACACGGACTCAGTCCTTAAAAGTACACAAAATACATGCATTTGTACCAAATCCAAATCAGGAAGTTGTGTTTCCAGCACCCTCACTGATCTTATTTACACTAGAGATCTCTCCTCAACCCTGTCCCACCTATTCCTGCACTTCTGCTTTTCCCCTTCCCCCTTCCCCCTCCATCTCAGAACTACAATAAGGTTCCCCTTGTCCTCACTTTTCACTCCACCAATCTTCATATCCAAAAGAATATCCTCCACCGTTTCTGCAACGTCCAGCATGATGCCACCACCAAACATATCATTTCCTCTCCTGCCTTGTCAGCATGCCAAAAGGACAGTTTCCCTCGGCCCACTCCTTAATAACCTTCAACACCTCATCCCTCTCCCATGACCCTTCCTATGCTTTCACAGGAGTTGCAACACTTTCCCTCTGTCCTATCCAAGTCTTCAAACATTTCTTCTACTAGGAACACTTAGAATCACAGAATCCCTGGAAGCAGACCATTCAGCGCGGCCTTCACAAGGGCATATGATTGACAGCCCTGCACCAAGGCATCTGTCGAGATGAATGACACTGTGACCATCAGAACCAGAAAGTTCATGACAAATCGCTTGCTTCAACGCAAGCAAATGGTTGTCGATGTTCTCCATCCTGGCAAACACACAGTTCCTAAGACAGAAATTAGAGAAAAACTAGCAAAAATGTACAAAACGACACCAGATGTTGTGTTTGTTTTTGGCTTCAGGGATAGAGAGCAGAATGAAATCTATGACTTTACTCTTCGTCATATCCGCCAATTTCATACTTCTATGGTTGATGTATATTTTATATTGAACCTCTGAACGGACCCACACCCCTAGTCTATTCTTGTAACTGCATTTCTCATGGCTAATCCACCTAGCCTGAACATCCCTGTATACTGTGGGCAATTTAGCACAGCCAATCCACCTAACTTGCACATCTTTGGACTGTGGGAGGAAAACAGAGCATCTGGAGGAAACCCACACAGACACGGGGAGAATGTGCAAACTCCACACAGACAGTAGCTTAAGGGTGGAATTGAACCGAGCACCCTGGCACTCTGAGGCACCGTGCTGCCCTGATGTTGGCTCTCAGTTACTTGGATTTATTCATCAATTGAATTGTTTTTATAACTGGATATTTCATGCCGTTCTTTAATTGGTTTCTGAATTTTTTTCTATGTCACCACATAAATAAATATATTTGTGCAGCAACTTAGGCTCCACAACAAAAATGCAACTTGCTCAAGAAGAAAAAGCATGGTCATCCAAGAATAACCAACATTAGAGAAATATAAAATATACATCAACCATAGAAGTATGAAATTGGCAGATATGACGAAGAGTAAAGTCATAGATTTCATTCTGCACTCTATCCCTGGATCATTCTCTATTTTTCTCTGACCCCTAAGTCCCTTATGGCCTCAAAGATATGTCTGACTGTCAGAATGTCGAGAAAAAGCATAAAAATGAATGGGGAGAAAGGTGTTGAAATGTTTCAAAATATTTAAAACTTGCCCACCAATGGTCGTAAATAACTGTATAATAGTACCACAGAACATTGAAAGAAAACCTGGAAAGGTCAGCAATAATCTAATCTATTGTGTTTGCTGCTCACAAGCTCACAATGCAGTCTCTTCTACATTGGGGTCATCAAAAGCATGTTTACGGAATACCTACATTCAATCCTCAAGCATGGCCCTGACCTTCCAGTCACTTGCCATTTCAAAACACCATCCTGCCCTAATGCTCACGTTTGCTGCAGTGTTCCAGTGAAGTCCAACACAAGCTGGAGGAAAAACATCTCATTTTACATTTAGGCACTTTACAGCCTTCTGGACTCAAAGTTAAGTTTCACAACTTCTGATCATGAATGCGATCTTTCATTTTGGTTTCCACTCACCCCAACTACCACCATCCTAGCTTCTTATTTCCATGGTTTTGCTATCAGCATGGATGACCCACATCCTGCTATTAACACCTACTCTGGATCTATGTAACTTCTTTACAACCGTTACCATACTGTTTGCGTTTTGTTCTGTAACAAGGCTGAACTCTAACCTTACTCAATATCTAACCCTCCACTGATCTTTCCTTTATTCCACTTTTTCAAGCCCTACAATATAATACAATACCCATCTACAATATTCTACAATATAATACCCATCACTCTGCCATCTCTCCTCAGTTCCAAAGAGGAGCAGCTTCCAAGGCTAGGAATCTTGCAGTGAGTAACTCACTTCCTGACTCCCCAAAACCTATCCACACCATTACACGGCACAAGTCAGGACTGTAATGGAATATTCCCCACTTGCCTGGATGAACACTGCTCCAATACTCAGGAAGCTTGACACCATTCAAGACAAAGCAGTCTATTTGAATGGAATTATATCCATAAACGTTCACTTCCTCCACCAGCAATGCTCAGAGGCAGCATTGCTGAATAGAGAAACAGATGCACAGCAGAAATTTACCAAGACTCCTTAGACAGCATCTTCCAAACCCATGAGTACTACCATTCAGAAGGATACTTGGATACATGGGAACACCACCACCTACAAGCTCCCCTCCAAACCACACACCACGGTGACATGGAAATATATATTGTTCTTTCACTGTCGCTGAGTCAAAATCTTAGAACTTCTTTCTTAACGGCATTATGGATCTACCTACAGCCCACATGGACTGCAGCAGTTCAAGAAGATAGCTCACTGCCACCTTCTCAAGAGAAATTAGGAATGGGCAACAATTTTTTTTTTTAAATTCATTCATGGGATGTGGGCATTGCTGGCTGAACAGAGGACAATTAAGAGTCAACCACATTGCTCTGGGTCTGAAGTCACATGTAGGCCGGACCAGGTAAGGGTGGCAGATTTCCTTCCCACAGGACATTAGTGAACCAGATGGGTTTTTCTGGACAATCAGCAATGGTTTCATGGTCATCATTAGACTCCTAATGCCAGATTATTAGTGAATTCAAATTCCACCATCTGCCGTGGCCAGATTCGAACCCAGGTCCCCAGAACATTACCCGAGTGTCTGGATTCACAGTCTAGTGCTAATACCACTAGGCCATCATCTACCCTTGACAAATGCTGGTCCAGCCACACACATCCTGTGAGCAAACTTTAAAAAGTATCATTTTAGAGTTAAATCTCTGTTTCTCCATTCATAGATGCTCCCAGTCCTGCTGAGTATTTCTGGCACTTACTATTTTTATTTCAGACCTCCAGCATCTGCAGTATTTTGCTTTGTTGTTAAGGGAGTATACGTACAGATGTTTTCAGATCAACTTGTTCAGAGATGTTACAACTCACCTGTAGAGCAGTGGCATGTGGACCTAGGCCTCCTGGCTCAGCGGTACTATTGTTATTCAGAAGTATACTCCTGCTATTTAGTGTTATAGTCTATATTATTATTTAATCCATACTAATAAGGAAACTGAAGTTGGGAAGAGAGCTCATGCAATTCAGATGTGGAGAGCCAGTCACTCCATTCACCTGCCTTTGGGCAAATGAGTTGTTATTTCAGCTCTAAGCATAGTGACAGAGTGCGGAACAGCAACAAGTCCCACGCCAAACGTCATCCCGCAAACAGCTATCAAAATGGCCTCAGAAGAGCAAACCGTAAAGAACTGTAGGAAGTTCAGTTAGTTGATCCCTCAGGAGACCCTAGGAAGCAAACAGCGAGAACACAATCTATTTAGTTCGAGATTTCATAAGTAACTTTATTCACAAAACACATTATTTGTAACTTAGATTAGCACATTAGAAAAACGCAGGGCAAACTTCTCACAGGATACTACTCTTTCGATAACAAGTGGGAGATGGCTGGGGGAAAGGCCCATGTAAAAAGTATGGCCATTACTGTCACATACAGCTCATCTGGCATGTCCAAAATGCAGATAATATAATACGTGTAGCCTCTAAGGCAGAATTATTTTGATATAGTAGTGTAAAATTGCCAGAAATCTTTCAGACAGGATTCTTTGAATTTATGGGACAGTTAAATTGGTAGCTGGACAGGTCTTTTCTGTTTGGTCTCAAGAATAAAGTATCAGGCATGCATGTGAATACATTTTCCAAACATGAGAAATATTTGAGAAATGTTAACGATGATTTCCTTAATGTCTGAAATCTCCAATTCCACTAGGCTGCTTTTTACAGCCATTCTGAACATCAAAAGAATTGATATATGGCAGGCTGAGGATGCCAGAGAATCTGTGCCTGGATGTTTAAAGGAAATTTATATTATCTAGCTCCAGTTCTGTCTTTTGTCTAACAAAGCTTTCTGAATTCTGGCTGCGCAGACAGGTTTCCATGAACTTAACATTCCTTTTCAGAGTAGAACATGGAACTTTTACAGGCTTTCCGCCCCCGCCCCCACCCCAATTTTCTCCTGTAAATCTGGCAGACGATCAGCACAAATATGCAGAGAAGTGATGTAAACAGCTGCTTGAGCCTTTTCTCCAAAGTTCGCCTGTAAATAACAAATGGCACTAGATGAAAAGCTAATGTGGCATTAAGTAAAATGCTCGACAATTTTATTGGGGATTCTCTTAATTAGCTGTGTAACTTCAATTTAAAAAAAAATTTATTAACAGCATTTAAACAATCAACTGAAGCTTGCTGGCTGATCGAAAGAACCAGACTGCATTCCCAGCATCAGTTCCCTCCTTAAGTATCAGAAATAGGCTATAAAACCTGTGCAATTTGTGGAAGATGAATAGGAAGATAAGCAGACCAGTCCTATACCTAGAGAAAGAAATGTTCTCTCGTTGCCTTTCTTTAAACATATCAAGTTGCTGTGATCTGAAATGCTTTGCTTGACAGGGTGGAAAAATTGATGAAAAGCCAAAATAATATAGATCCAAAGAGATTCGGTTCCAGATACATAGTCTTTTTTTATTCATTAACAGGATGAGGGCATCACTGGCTAGGCAGCATTTATTGCCCATCCCTTATTGCCCAGAGGGCAGTTCAGAGTCAACCACATTGCTGTGGGTCTGGAGTCCCAAGTAGGCCAGACCAGGTAAGGATAGCAGTTTCCTTCCCTAAAGGACATTAGTGAACCAGGTGGGTTTTTCCGACAATCGACAATGGATTAATGGTCATCATTACATTCTTAATTCCAGATATTTTACTGAATTCAAATTCCACTATCTGCCATGGTGGGATTCGAACCCGGGTCCCCAGAATGTTATCTGGGTCTCCAGATTAACAGTCTAGCGATAATACCACCAGGCAATTGCCTATTTCATTGAAATGCTATGATCAGGTATAGAAAAATGCTCAAAAGGTTGATGGAGCACTGACCTTTATATCCAGAAGAATGAATACAATGGAATAGAAGTACACTTCAACTAGACAAAGCCCTAGTCAGACCACATCAAGACTACTTTGAATAGTTTTGACCATCACAGATTGGGAAGGATGAACTTTCCTTGGTGAGACTGCAGTGCAGATTTATCACATACCAAGGTTTAAAACTTGAAGACAAATTATACAAACTAGGTTTATATTCCCTGGAATGACAAAGATTGAGGATTGATTCATTAAAGTTCAAAGATATTTAGGGGAAACAGAGAAAACAGACATTGAGGAAGTATTTATCCTAGCTGGAGTCCAGGATGAGGGTACAGTCTAAAACTTAGAGCTGGATCTTCTAGGAGTGCAATTAAGAAACATTTCTACATGCAAAGAGTCATAGGACTTTGGAATTCGTGGAAGGGCGTAGATCAACTATCATCTCAACAAATAGTCAAACAAGTTTATGGAATGAGGAGGATTCTGGGTAATCCAAGATGGAGGACAGGAAAAAGCTGTGGCTGTAAGAGCTGCTCCTTTTTTGAGTAATTTTCAGTGTTGGAGCTTATTTCCTCGAATTCTAGAAGCAGTAATTACTGTTTTATAAGCTGTTGCATTGTTTCGAATGTTGGGGAAAGCAAAAGATCCAGGGTTGGAGGGTTTGAGCTATTGGGAGACGCTGAATAGACTGGGGCTATTTTCCCTGGAGCGTTGGAGGCTGAGGGGTGACCTTATAGAAGTTTATAAGATCGTGAGGGGCACGGACAGGGTAAATAGACAAGGTGTTTTCCCCAGGGTGGGGGTCCAAAACAAGAGGGCATATGTTTAAGGTGAGAGGGGAAAGATTTAAAAGGGATCTAAGGGGCAACATTTTCATGCAGAGGGTGGTCCATGTATAGAATAAGGAAGTGGTGGAGGCTGCTACAATTACAACATTTAAAAGGCATCTGGATATGGACCAAATGTTGGCAAATGGGACTAGATTTAGTTAGGATATCTGATCGGCATGGACGACTGGGAAAAAAGGTTCTGTTTCCGTGCTGTACATCTCTATGACTCTAACTGAATGGCTTACTCCTTTTTATATAAATACTTAAAGGGAACAAAGTTACACAGCGAAGAGGAAAGAATAGCGAACTGAAATTAACAAGATAGCTCCATCAAAATGCTGATATTGGTATAATGGGCCAAATGAACTCCAGTTTTGAATGCATCTACCTTAGTAAACAGACAATTCCACTACTCTCTACTCCCATTCGCCATATAATCCAAACACATGGGATGCTAAAGAAGTAAAAGCTGCATGTACATTACACTAACATGCAAGTACAAGATGATTGAAGACTTCAAGTTGATACCAACTTCACTGGCTGCAGACTTGCTGAAACTGAGTGTACATATAATAAACTATATAAAAGGGATTCCACAGCAATGTGCTATTCCAAACAATTCCAGTAAAATCCAAGACTGGAAATCTCACCTTTTACTGGGCTTTCATCACTCTTAAATTAGTGTTCAAACTCGCCATGTATCCACACAGCTCTGATAAGCAGGCTACAGCACAGAATGGTAGTGAGCAATGTTGCAGTGACCACAGCCAATACATCCTTCTTCTGCCCAACAGGAACCTGTAGCGTAAGAGTTTCCACAACCTGCAAAAAGAAAGAATCGTGACATCCAGCAATCTGAAACAGGAAGTGATTCTGAGACTTGACAATTTGTAAAATAGAAAACAGTCACGACACATCCAGGCTTATTAAGCACATGCTCTAAATTTCATATACAAGTATTTCAATATGACGAGAGTGCTTTTTAAGAATAGTGCAATATTAACTTCTGAACAACAAACAAATGAAAACAGTTAACTGCACAAAAAATAAATTCCCAAACTAGGAGACCCCATTCCTGATTGACTCCTGTATGAAACAGCAGAGATTGCATAATCAGGCACAGAACTCAGCAAGTTCAATATGTCTTTTCTTTATTTTTTCATAGGAAGTGGCATCTTTGGCTAAGGCAGCATTTGTTGCCCATTCCTCATTTCCCCTAAATTGGCGATGGTGAGCTGTCTTCTTGAAGTTGCAGCCCTTTGAATTTAGGTACACTCAGTCCTGTAAGGAAGGAAAATCCAGGATTATGACTTGGTGACAGTGATAGGAATGGCGATATAGTTCTAAGTTAGGATATGTGGCTTGAAGGAGAACTTACAAGGGGTGATGTTCCCATGCACCTACTGCCCCTGTCCTTCTAGGTGGTAGGGATCATGGGTTTGGAAGATATTGTTGAAAGATGAGCTGATGCAAAGTCTATTTTGTAGTTGGAATTCACTGCTGCCACTGTGCAATGGGGAATGTTAAAGGTAGGGGATGGGGTGCCAATTAAGTAGCATTTGTCGTGGTGGTGCTGTTTTGGTAGAAAGTTGAATTCTGAACAACTTTAGGGCTTTGGGAGGATATGCAAGGCATGTAACATCAGTATCACAAAGCACGATCAAAACTGGCTTGGGATCTATTACTATTTCTCAAATCACAACATTTTCTAATTAAGAAATTCTAATGGTGCAAGCATGGACTTCTCGGCCCTCATCACTACCTTAATCTTGATGCTTTTCCCCTCTCAGATATTCAAACAGTGGAACCTGACCAGACAGCGGAAGACCAAGAAATTAGTGAAGGTAAAGAGATACTGTAATTCAGTCTCACAACGGCAGGTGCCAAGTTAGATGCCTATGCAGTTTTAGTTTTAGAGCTCAAGACCATAACTCGTAGGAACAGAAGTAGATAATTTAGCCCAGAATTTGCTCCACCTTTCAATGTGATTATAGCTAATCTTATTTTCCTCAAATCCACTTTCCTGTCTTATCCTCATAACCCCTAAATTCCTTACTGATTAAAAATCTGTCTACATCAACCTTGAATATACTTAACAACCCAGAATCAATAGCTCTTTATTTTTAAAATCCATTTCCTTTGATATAAAGGCAAACATTCAATTTGCCTTCCTTATTAATTTCTGAACCTGGATGCTAGCTTTTTGTGCTAAGTGAATAAAAGAAAAATACACAAGGACCCCTAAATCACCATGTGCTGCAGTCTTCAGCAGACTTTCTCCTGCCAAAGTGTATAAGCTCACAGTTTGTCAAATTATGTTCTTTGCAGGTTTTTGCACAAGTTGAGAGGTCTTAGCCTATTTATACCCCTCTGTAGACTCTTTGTGTCATCTTCACTACTTACGTTCTCACCTATTTTTGTGTCATCTGAGGAGAGGACAGAAATGTTATCTAATTCTGGTAACATAGTGGTACATGTATCCTCTAAACAGGAAAAAAAAAAATCACATTGGTACCAGCTGAACAAAGGTGAGATTGCACATCAGTTCTGGGACACACTGAGAACACTGATGATTACTTTGTTGGGCCAGATAACTTACACATAAAAGTGCTCCATTCATTCAAAAGCCTGTGTTCACGGTTAAGGTGCTTGGAGGAATCCAGCACCAACTTGGGACAAGTTGGTTTAAATCCCATTTTTTCCCAAAACAAACCAGGGTTGGGGGGGTGGGGTCATTCACTCCAGCAATGCACCCTACAGTCAACTATGATATAGTGTTTGATGGTCAATGCCTCAACATTCACTGCAGCACAAGCAGCAGCCACCCGGGTACTGCAGCAGGAGCTCAGAACGCTGTCTAGGAATCTCAGCTTGCTGCCATGGAAACTCAGATTTCTGTCATCATGGTTCTGGATGCCAGTACACAAAGGGCATGATAGCACAGCACTCCTGGAATCTGTTTTACAACAGATCTGCTCCAGAAAGAACCTCTGCAGATACAGCCTCCTTTTGAGAGACCTTCTCCCCAACCTTCTCCCTCTGCTAGCAGCTTTTCGTGCTGTGCAGTCTCTGCACATGCTCCCATGTCATGCTCAATGCCAATAGGAAATATAACAAGGCCACCCATGTCTGAAAGCAACTGATTTGTCCACAAAATTTTTAATTACCAGGAACAAATTGATATGAACAGAAATATGAAAAGGACTAAAAATGTGTAGAATTGCAACAATAGCCAGAAGAGATAGTTGCTGATCTCTTTATATTGCGTGTATGCGTGCATGTATATGACTGTATATGTGAATATCAGTGCGCGTGTACACGCATATATGTGTGCGCATGCGCATGCGCATACATGTGCCTCTGTGTGTCTTTCATAATGTTGTTTTTACCTGCATAAGGGAGAGAGAGGTTGTTGTCTGGACCATGGAGCTCCAAATGGCAGTGCTGATGTCAAATCAACATTGCACACTGATTAATACCATGATCATCCCACTCTACATAGATCTGGCAAACATTAGGCATAGGCTTGCCACCCGCTTCAGGAATACATTGGCTGGCACACTTCATAACAAAACAGTCTTTTTGGAACGCTTATAGTTTCTCTTCTTATCAAGAAACATTTGCATAACTACCTTAAATTAAGAAAAAGGAAATGCAGGAGGATTTTTTTTAAACAAGAATGACAAGGATGTGAACAGATTACTGTAAAATGTGATTTCAGGAACCTTAACTGATTCCAAAAAAAGAAAATCAGACCGGTTCTCTAATACAAATGGTATATTGTGGATAGACAGGCTAAACAGACCGAAGCTCTTCCGTTGTCTGAAACCATTAATGTGTTATAAAACAATATGTAACAGGAACATTACTCTTATATCTATTTCAAATAATGGTGTATGTTATTGCTTGTATTATAAGTCTAACAGAATAAATCACGACACTTCTGCTTTGTCTAAACAAAATGCATAGAAAATACAAATAAAATACAGATTCACCTACAAAGATACGGTGATATTTCTTTAAACAGTTACCAACTTACATTGTGATAGTTAACATTCAGCCAGCTACAGATACTGTGATTATTTGCTGAGCAGGGAGCTTTAGTTATACCAAGTTTCCAACTTTCCAATAATGGACTATCTAAAAAGAGATAAAAGAGAATAAGAGGTGGTGATCCTCTTTACAAATCCGGATTTGATTCACTGAACAGATTAGATTAGACCTTTCGGAGTTCAGAAGAATGAAAACCATTCTCATTGAAACTTACAAGATTCTAGGGCAGACTAGACAGCATAGATACTGGACTGATACTTATTCTTGTGCAGTAAACTAGAACTAGAGGACATGGTTTATAAAATTAACAGTTTAAAAAAATCTCCCTTTTAAAACATTTCAGCTTGCATTGGAAAGAGGTGCTTCCTTCCTGGTGTGCTGACAGGAAGAAAAAGATGCAGCTGTAGTGCAGGATAATTCTACCTGCAGTTACAAAGTGATCATGATCATCAGCGGGGTATATAGACTGCCAGTAAGTTATTAGCCTGGATCCTCTGAAGTGTGGCAATCATCAATGTTCTGCTGTTCGGCTGGATCTTTACCTTAATTCAGTGCTGCTTTGCATTTCCTGCCAGGTGTACTGAGACCAGCTCTCCGAGAAATGTGGTGCGCAGCGACCCTTGGAATACTCCATCGCATTTGAGTGGAGTTGGTGGGTATGGGTAGAAGGAAGAGAGAGAGACAGAAGGCAGGAAATACCTGTTTTTTAAAGCACAAATGTCCAATGCTTGAATGTTGACCAGTAGGTAGGAGTGTCAGGAGTTCAACCGGTCAGGAGGGGTATTCAAGTCATGAGGGTACTCAGGTCACAGGAGACATGTAGTGTGATCAGATAGGAAAGTACGGGGTGTTAAGGGGTTGTCAGGGGTTTCATTTCTTTGAGTAGAGTGTAGTCAGGGGTTAAGGTGGGGCAGGAGTGTAGTCAGGGTTGCCGGGGGTGCTCGGTTGAATACTTACCAAGGGATTAGGCAAGGATGTTTCTAATATTTCTTAGGCAAATATCCAGGTAGGTACATTGGAACTGTGTGATATCTCCAACTCTAACTCAGATATTTTCCAAAAAATCATGAGGAGCAGTGGAATTTCCCACTTCAAGTACAAATTTCCTGAGCAATTCCCATGGAAACAGTGCATCAGGACATCCACAGAGTCCTATCATGCATCTCCAGCTATACATCCAGTCTCTGATGAAGATATGGGTCATTTATAGTACTGACAATTATGAAGTATAGTTGAATTTCACTAGAATCACTGCTAGGCGTTCTTTCAACAAGCTACATAGGAAAGGTTTAGAGGGATATGAGCCAAATACTGGCAAATGGGACTAGCTTTACCCATGTTATATGGTTGGCATGAACGAGTTGGACTGAAGGGCCTGTTTTCATGCTATACATCTCTATGACACTACTGTTAATTTTTGGCAGAATCAAATCAAAACCAATTCCTTTCTTCTTAGACTGTACCATGAATCGCTTTCCCACCCACCGTTACCTCCCTTTCCCACTGTCCCGAATTTCTCCTCCCAAAAGTGAAATAAAGAATGTAGGTTTTGGATGGAGAACAAGACAATAGTTATCTCTTATAAAACCATAACCAAGCAGTAGCATGAGTCAAGAGAGAGGGCAGGGGTATGTAAGGTAAATAAACCAAACCTGGAAGGCACTCATTCTAATTTGTTACATACTTTCCTGACAGTGAATCATCAACTGTGGGTCTGCAAGGGTCACCAAAGCAGTGGCTTCCTTTGTGTCTGTTGGCCGATGATATCGTACATGTAGTGGGACTGCTCCAGTAAAATGTCCATTATGTCTGGGATCAGGTTTCAGATAGATGATGACTGCATGTGCTGCTGACAAATATTCCGGAGCTTCAATATCGATCTCATTCTGAACGAATATCTACATATATATTGCAAGTGTTTAGAAAGCACCAACAGCAAGAAGTAAGCAATAACCACTGTCAGTCGCTACATCCAAGTGAATAACACTCAGCATTCAGAACTACCAGCTATAAATCATCAGCATTAGCACCTCTGCAGCTGTAGAAATCAGTGACATTGCTAATCAAAATGAATACACAGTAACTGTGACAGTGCATCCGATTTCACAACATTAATATTAGATTATACACCAGTTTTTACACTGCAACCAGGTCCAAGAGGACCTAACTGAAACGGTCTCTGGCATTCATTTTACCTGGCACAGCAGCTGCATGTGTACAGAATTAGCTGTCACAAGATGTCTAATTAAAAAAAAAAGAGTATTCAGGCATAATGTTGTCAACACTAAAACATGGCAGCAACTCTCTTAGAAGCCTCAGCAAAATCAGCGACAGGCAGCAACTTCAGTGGATAATAGATCTAAATAAATGCCAGGTTTACCCTGCTATAATAGCTATTAGTCAAAGCATTATAAGAGCAGCGTACCACTGTAAATAGGTCTGAAATTGAGTTTAAGATGGATTGCTATATCCATTTCATTTTATTCTTGGGTAGAAATTACTTAATCGGACGCAGTAAAAATGTTTATCGTACATGCGGTACTTGACTTTGCTTGATGGGGATATTGTAGTTTTAACCTGCAACTTATCTGGCACCTTTAACATTAGTTAAGTGTCTAAGATATTTCACTGACGCATAATAAAACAAAGCATGCCACCCAGTCACATAAGGAGATATTAGCTGGCGGAGGCAAGTTCAATTTAAGTATTTAAAAACAAATAAGACAGTTCCCTGCAAAGGAATAAAATGTGCAGGAATTCATGGAGAAGGCCAGGGAATGGCATGAAGCAAATGAATCATTCTGACAGCCGCTGCAATTGAGCTGGACCAAATAGCCTCCTTCTGCACTGTAACAACTCTGTGACTGATTCCAGAAAAGATGGGGACAAATTTGGGAGATGGCAACATTTTGAACTTTTTGAAGTAAGAGAAGATACAGATGAAATGGGAGTTACAAGGACGGTGGGTAAAGGTTTGTCTTTTTAAAGAAGGGGACGATAGTGGCAGATTTGAATGTTTGATGGACAGAACCTAATGAGAGGGAACCAGTAACAATATCAGCTAACACAGGAGCCAGGACAGGAAACAAACACAGATTACTGGAGTAACTCAGTAGTAACGTTAATACTGTTTCTCTCTATACAGAGCTGCTAGACTGGCTGAGTTTCTCAAGCATTGTGTTTGTTTCAGATTTCTGCACATTTTACCTTTAGCCAGGAACGGAAATTGGGCTATCAGTGATGAAGGCATCACCGGCCAGGCAGCATTTGTTGTCCATCCCTAATTGCCCACAGGGCAGTTAAATGTCAAGCACATTGCTGTGCGTTTGGAATCACTTGTAGGCCAGACCAGGTAAGAATGGCAGTTTCCTTCCTTAAAGGACATTAGAGAACCAGATGAGTTTTCCCAACAACTGGCAATGGATTCACGGTCATCATTAGACTCTTAATTCTAGATATTTTATTGAATTCAAATTACACCATCTGCCGTGGTGGGATTCAAACCCATGTCCCCAGAACACTATCTGGGTCTCTGGGTTAACAGTCCAGAGATCATACCACTAGGCCACTACCTCCCCGATGCACTTAGCAGAGATGGATGTTAACACTGACGTAATTAAAATGATTTTCGAACACTCTCATAATGACAAATAATAAAAAAAAGCAGACTGAGTTTCTCATACCTCTTCACTCTTCTGCTCTCGTAGTGAAGCAAGTTCATACGGATCCACGTAAAGTCCTGGTGGTAACTGCTGCTTAATCATAACGCAACAGCTCTGTTGAGCACTTTCACCAAGGTCAACATCCATTATTAACTCTCTACAAAATGTAACAAGCAGTCAATTAGTCATAGATAGAGTCATAGAGTCCTACAGCATGGAGACAAGCCATTCAGCCCGAACGGGTCCATGCTGACCAAAATGTCCATCCACGCCAACCCCATTTCCCTGTTCTTGGACCATATCCTTCTAAACCTTTCCTATCCATGCATTCATCCAAATGCCTTTTAATTGTTGTTAACGTACCTGCCTTAACCACTTCCACTGACAGCTCATTCCATTTGCGCACCACCCACTGTGTAAAAAAAAGTTGCCCCTCAGGTTCCCATGTATTCTTGCCCCTCTTACCTTAAACTGATGCCCTCTAGTCCTTGATTCCCCAACCTTGGGAAAAAGACCAAGTGCATTCACCCTATACATGCCACTCATGATCTTATACATTGCTATAAGAATCCCCCTCAGTCTCTTACGCTCTAAAGAAAAAAGTCCTGGCTTGTCCAACCTCTCCCTATAACTCAGTCCCTTTTGCCCTGGCAACATCCTTGCAAATTTCTTCTGCACTATTTCCAGTTTAATAACATCCTTCCTATAGCAAGGTGACCAAAATTGAACACAATACTCCAAGTGCGGCCTCACCAACGTCCTGTACAACTGCAACATAACTTCCCAACTTCTACACTGATGCTCTGACTGCTGAAGGCCAGTGTGCCAAAAGCCTTCTTCACTGTCCTGTCTACCTGTGACTCCACTTTCAGAGAACTATGCACCTGAACTCCAAGGTCCCTCTGCTCCAATACACTCCTTAATGCTCCACCATTCACCATGAAACTCTTATCTTGATTTGACTTTCCAAAATGCAACAGCTCACACTTATCTATATTAAACTGCATCTGCAATTTCTTGGCCCACTTCTCTAGCTAATCAAGTTCCTGCTGCAATTTCTGATAACCTTCCCCACTGTCTACAATACCACCTACTTTAGTGTCATCCACAAACTTACCAACCATGCCTCGTGCATTCTCATCCAAATCGTTGATATAGATAACAAACAGCAATGGGCCCAGCACTGACCACTGAGGCACACCACTAGTCACAGGCCTCCAGTCTGACAAACATCCTTCCACTATTACTGTCTGCTTCCTGCCATCAAGTCAATTATGTATCCAATTTGCCAACTCTCACTGGATTCCATGCGATCTAACCTTCCAGAGCAGCCTACCATGTGGAACCTTATCAAAGGCCTTAGTGAAATCCATATATAGACTATGTCTACCAACCTGCTCTCATCAACCGTCCAAGTCACTTCATCAAAGATTTCAAACAAATTTGTGTGGCATGATCTCCCAAGAATGAAGCCATGCTGACTACTCCTAATCAAACCCTGTCTTTCCAAATGCATGTATAACTTATCCCTCAAACAACTTACCTACCACAGATGTTAGGCTTACTGGTCTATAATTCCCAGGTTTTACTTTGCAGCCCTTCATGAAAAAGGGCACAACACTCGCTGCCATCCAGTATTCCGGGACCTCATTCGTGGCTAACGATGATGCAAATATATCAGCCAGGGCCCCCGCAATTTCTTCTCTAGCCTCTTGCAGGTTCTTGGATATATCTGATCAGGACCAGGAGATGTATCCACCTTCATACATTCTAATACTTCCAACACCTCCTCTACTGTGATAGGGACTGTCCCCAAGATATCACCACTGACTTCGCCAAGTTCCCAAGTCTTCATGTCTTTCTCCACGGTAAACACAAGAGGAGAAATATTCATTGAGGACCTCGCCCATCTCCTCTGGTTCCACACATACATGTCCACTTTGGTCCTTGAGGAGTGCTATTCTTCTCTCTAGTTATTCTTTTTCCTTTACTATATTTAAAGAATCTCTTTGGATTCACTCTAATCTTCTCAGCCAAAGCTATCTTGTGCCCCCTTTTCGCCCACCTGATTTCCTTCTTCAGTAAACTCCTGAATCCACTATATGCCTCCAGGGATTCCCTTGATCCCAGCTGTCTGTACCTGAGCCATACCTCCTCATTCAGGGTTCCCTACTCCTGCCAACCTTGCCTTTCACATTCATAGGAACATACAGACCTTGAACTCTAGCTATCACACTTTTAAAGGCCTCCCTCTTGCCAGACGTCCCTGCAAACAAACTAATCAAGTTCCTGCAAGCTCCTGTCCAATTCCTTCAAAATTCGCCCTGCCTAATTTAGAATTTGAACCTGTGGACCAGTTTTGTCCTTCTCCATAACTATTTTAAAATTAATAGAACTATGGTCACTGGCCCCAAAGTGCTCCCCTACTGTCACCTCAGTCACCTGTCCTGCCCTATTTCCCAAAAGTAGGTCAAGTTTTGCCCGTTCCCAAGTAAGACCCTCTATATACTGCTTGAGGAAACTTTCCTGAACACATTTAACAAATTCCACCCCATCTAACCTTAACACCATTGCAGTCCCAGTCTATGTTAGAGAAATTTAAATCCCCACTATGACAACCCTATTTTTCCTGCAAGTCTCTGCAATCTTCCTGCATATTTGTTCCTCTAATTCCCGTTGATTATTTGGGGACCTATAGTACAGCCCCAATAACGTCACCATCTCCTTCTTATTTCTTAGCTCCGCCCACAAAGCCTCACTGGATGATCCCTCAGTTATTTCATCTCTGACTACTGCTGTGATACTCATCTTAATCGCAAGAAGTCAGGTCCTTAACCTACTCATCAATGCTTTGTCCAAATTCACCACATGAACAATATGGCATTTAGATTCATTTTGTCATTTTCCATGTTTTACTTTAACGTTAATAGATTTTTGCAACTCTGTCTCATTGGGTGAAGACATCACATGGTATTGAGGCTTTAGAAGAGAAAATTCACAATGTTGCCTTGTATACAGTGTATACAGAAACATATCATACTTTACAGAACAGAAATGGAAACACAAGGTAGGCAATTGATGGATTAGTGTGGAAATGCAGCGGGAGAAAATGTTTGGTCTTTCATGGAATTTATATGATACTGTCATACAAGTTCGAGGAGACAGAACTTGGAAAATGTTAGATTAGTACTCTTTATTCAAGCAGGATAATGAGATAATAAAATATAACCTTTTACACAAGGTCTGTACATGAGGTGCCAAAATACTCAAATGCCCCAGGAGATATCACTACAGCTGCATAAAAACCTATAAAGTAGGAGCAGGAGGCAGTCATTTGGTCTTTGGAGCTCTCATGGCTATTTAGTAAGTTCATCACCTCAGCTCTGCCTCCCACAATAGCCCTCAATTTCCTTAGTATCCAAGAGTCTGATGACTGAGCATCCACAACATTCTAAATGTTTACAACCCTCTAGACAAAGAAATTTTTCATCTAAACCTAAATGGCTGACTACTTATTCCGAGACCCTGACTTCAAGTTGTATATTCCTCAAGGAGAAACAGCCTCTCAGCAACTGCCTTACAAATGTTTTATGTTTTAGCGAGATCATCTCCCATTCTGTTAAGGACTATCGGAAATATGCCTAGTCTACTCAAGCTCTCCTCTTGGGAGAAACTCTCATCCAAGGAAGCAGTCTAATGAACTTCTTTCGCTCCTCGTAGAGCAATTTATCCTTCCTGAATGAAGGAAAGCAAAACAGTACACAGTACAGTATCCCAGAGCATAGTTTCACCAAGGCCTGACTTTCCAAACTAAGATTGTTTCTGTCTACTTTTTTCAATCCAATCTTTTATTATTAGAACAATCCTCCTTTTCCATCTGATCTCTCTCTTCTAAACATCAAGTATCTAGGAATATTTAATTCCCAACCTTAGTTTTCCTGTAATCACATCCGTATAGCAGTGTTTAGATGCAAAAAGTTATTAATAGCTAGCTTTCAGTGACTTATGAAGAAGAATACATAGGTCCCATTGGACATCAATACTTTCCTATTGCTCAGCATTTAAGAAAATTCACTGTACCTTTATTCGTCCTACTAAAGTGGAGGACCTCAATCTTATTCATACTCATCTGCCATGGTGTTGAAAACTCTCAGTTTGTTCAAATTTCTTTGAAACCTCTTTGCATCCTCTGCACAACACTCATTCTCATCAGGCTCTGAATCATCAGCAAAATTTGGAAACGTCACAATTGGTTCCCACATCCAAATCAGTGATATAGATTGCGAGCAGCTGAGGGCCAAACAATGATCCTTGCAGTTTTTCACTGGTCACAGTCTGCCAACTTCAGACTGACCCATTTATTCGTACTTCCTGTTTTTTATCTCTTAACCAATTATAGAGTCACAGGGTCATACAGCACAGAAACAGGCCCTTTCGCCAATCCTCAACCTCTGCAAGTATATTACCCTCAATCCTATGCACTTTAGTATTGATTACAAATACCTGTGCAGGACTATATTAAAAGTCTTCTGAAAATCCAAATATACTACATCAACTGGTTCCCCCTTATTGGCTCTGCTAGCAACATCCTCAAAAACCTCTATACTATTGGTTCCCACATGGATCATAAGAATTAATTCATCCCACTTCCACCCCAAGTTCTTCTCCAGCTTCAAGGAGATGTCTTTAACCTAGGCGTCATGCAGTTAACACATCCTTCAAGATTCTGGTCATGGCTGCATAGAACAGTGGCTATAATGTCTTCTGGATTCCACATGTTTGGAAAAAAAATCACAATTGTAGACTCAAAATGCTGGAGATTCAAAGTATTTCTTAGAGCTCACCATATGACTGGTACACCAATGCACTACTGTTCAACAGCTGACTGGAGTGCAGAAGTAAATGTGTGATCCTGGATGTGTAACCTCAATGATTAACTCTTAGCTCTCTACAAATCATATAAAAATGTGATAATACTTATCCCCTAAATATACTGCCCCTCATCATTATCACATTTCCTTTCTCTTCCTAACTTGAATGGTCAACAGTACAACGATCAGCTTGTTTATCCACCCTAAGGCCCTTGGCCCCATCAACATAGAACTTCCAAGCTATTGTATAAGGGCAAATGCTGAAACTCCTCCAGCACTGTACCTGGGGTTCCCTTAACAAGCATCTAGTAGCCTTATGTAGCCTATATAGAAGAAACTGATCTATGCTTCAATGAGTTGTATTCCTCAAAGTTACACAGGACAAATATATTTATCATTGTGGTATCACTGCCTTACTATGTGCACCCTGTAGGTAGTTACTACTGTTTAGTTTATTAGTTTTCACCCTCTGCTGCATGCATCTCTTGTGTTTTATCTCTTTCAATATGTATTTCCAAGGGTACCAATTTTCATTAATTACACACTGAAACTTATTCTAGCTCCTCTTACCCCCACCGTTGCCACTGTGATAAATGCCTGTCAGATTTGATTTCATTGATTTCACTGTACCGAGGTACAGTGAAAAGTGTTGTCTTATGTGCTTTACAGGCAGATGGTACTTTACAAGTGCATCAGAGTAACAGAACAGAGTGCAGGATACAATGTTACAGCTGCCGAGAAGGTGCAGACAGGGAGGATCGACATTAACATTAAAGAGGTCTATTCAAAAGTCTGATAGCATACTGCATCTTTGTGTGCTTTAACATAATTCTAACTCGGCATTATGTACTTCTGTATAATGACAGTCTTACTCTATTTAATAATCTTTATGTGCCTTTTCTTACAGAATACATCCTCAGCCCTAAAATCTGTTACATTATTTACTGATTTGTCTAATTAAATGAATGCTAGTATGACAAAGACAAGATTTGGAAAAGCGCACTGCTTCAACCAATTCTGCTTCCATTAGCCGTCTTGTGTTAAAATAATGCAGAAACATATTTATAATCTGACAGCTCTTACCTATGAAATCCATTCTTTACAATATGTCTGTTCAAACTCACTGATCGAAGCCAGGGCTCAGAGTACAAAGGATCATTACCTGTACAAACATAGAACAGTAACATTCCACACTCAGTATGAGTCACTATTTAACAGGTGGAATTGGGTAAGAATTTTTTTTCAAATTTAGGAGATGCATAGAAATTTCCCATCTGTGTCCCCTTCTCCCACTAACTCTTTTCCAGCATATTCTGGAGAAATTTTTCTTCCAAACATCATGCTATTGAAATCTGGAAAGATCTAAAAGCTTGCTACTTGAATTCTAGGGCAGCTAGATGTCAAGAAAAACTGAAGATGTGAGATTTCACATAGCAGGTAAGTAGGAAATGGCAAAATGCCATTTAAAGAACTGCCAGAATGACATGTCTAGGATATCAATTCATCAAACTATTCCTTAAAATAGACACAGAATAAAGAGAAAGCAGGAAAGGAGGAAGCATTTGCATTTATATCATGTCTTTGACAACGCAATTATCAGCCAAAGAAGTATTTTCTTTTGAAGTATCGGCATTCTCAGTGGGGAAGACTCCTCACTCAGCAGGCTTTGAGTTCATGTCCCATTCCAGAAAATCAAGCTGAAAAACCTAGGGTAATGTTCCAATTTGGTACTAAAAGAGTGCTGAACTGTCAGAGGTACCGCGTTTCAGCTGAGATGCTGAACCAAGACCCTGCCTGCTCTCACAAGTGAATATTAAGGGTCCCATAGCAATTTCCAAAGAAAAGCAGTTATCTTTGCTAATATAGACCCCTCAAAAAATTGTGGTCAACATCATATTGCTCTTTATGGAATTTTGCTGGGTTCAAACTGATTACACGTTTACTATTTAACATCAGTGATTGCACTTCAAATTAACATGCTTAGCTGTAAAGTACTTTGGGATGTTCAGGGACAAGATGCAATATAAATACAAGTCTCTCTTTCTTCAATCATGATTGTAATATTGAAACATTAACGTGAGAATAATAGCCCTCATTTATAACTAATTCTAGGGAAGATACCTGAAATTTGACCAACAGTCTGGCACATGGAAAAACATACCTTTCCAAATTGATCACCAACCTCTGACAAAATTAAGTTCTTTGAAGAAGTAATGGAGAGAGTTGGTAAGAGTAATTGAATCTTATACGAACGTCCAAAAGGCATGTGATAAAGTTCTAAATAATAGAATTGTCAGTAAAACTAAAGTCTATACATGAACAGAGATAGTAGGAACTGCAGATGCTGGAGAATCCGAGACAACAAGGTGCAGGGCTGGATGAACACAGCAGGCCAAGCAGCATCATAGGAGCAGAGAGGCTGACGTTTCGGGCCTAGACCCTTCGGTCTAGGATTCTCCAGCATCTGCAGTTCCTAC